GAAATAGGGCCGGTTGTACAATATACCGATAAATCTACCTGATATCTATCCGCCCGATAAACTTATCAGGAGGATAAAGATATTCGCTGTTGTACAAACTGTTTTTGTCGGTAGGATTGCTATCGGCGAAATAAGAGTCGGTTGGTAGTAGTTTTTCCCCATATCTAGTGATTTATGCCGTAGAATGGTAACGCCAACGTCTTTCTTTGAAGTTTGAATTATGATTTTGACAACATAAATTGTTTAAAAAAATTTTCACTGACACATCGTACATATAAGGTTAACGTTTAATGTTAGAGGTTAACCTATGCAGTAATCATACAAAGTTTTTATATAAAAACCTTGGTAACCATAAATATCTGCCGGATAAGTGTCTTAACGGCACCGCTGAGTACCCGATAAGTTATCCTGCCGATAATCTCACCGACAAAAATATCCGTACATTGTAATACAATGTATCCACAAACTAACTTATCCGCCAGATAACGCTGTCGGGAAGTTTATCGCTATATTGTACAACCGGCCCTTAGTCGAGTAGATGCATTTGATTCTATTTTTTCGGTCGAGTAGCGTACCCCCACTACTCACAGCTGCCTAATAGTACTTACTAAACACGTGCGAACGCATAAATTTAGTTTAGTGAGTTAGCATTTGTATTGCACGCGATGACGTTGTCTGTTCATCTTGAGTACCATTAAAGTGTCTTGAGTGTATGAAATGTGGACAGTTGCCATCTACTAAACGTTCCAGTGGTAAGTGGCTACTCGCTACTCTACTAAATTACTAAACGTGTGTGTACGGGCCTTAAAGACGGTTAAACTCGAATGATTCTAGTTCTGGGTATAGTGTTAGTTCTACTTTTACACTTGCACTGTCACTAATATTTACATTAGACCTAGAACTAGAAACATCTGTGTTTAGCTGTACGTCTTTTAAGGTGGCTAATGTCAAATGATAACGTTTGTGTATTTGGTATCTTCCATATTCGACATAGTTTTCCTGGATGGTATACCATTTGGTCTTTATCTAATTCTTCTGGTCTTTCTCCTTCTTGGGCTGCATTAGAAATGTTTGCAAGTAGTGTTTCCAGGTATTTTTTATACACTACACGTTGTTCTTTATTTGGCCCTCTTTGTTTCTGCACCCTCAAACTCTATTTTTCTCTCCATGGTCTTTTTTACCAAGTACTTTCTATCCATTTTATGATCCAGGTTTAGCCGTCTTGAGAGACGTGCTACTATATCAGATTGTTTGTAGTGCTCTGTAGAGACGTGCGGCTAAACCAATGATAGAACTAGAATTATTTGGGTTTAGCCGCACGTCTTTAAAGACGGGTAAACTCGAATGATTCTAGTTCTAGGTCTTGTGTTAGTTCTAGTGACAGCGCAAGTGTAAAACTAGAACTAGTACTATATCTAGAACTAGAATCATTCGGGCTTAGCCGTCTTTAGAGACGTGCGGCTAAACCCAAATGATTCTAGTTCTAAGTACCTATAGTGTTAGTTCTACATAGTGACAGTGCTAGTGTAAAACTAGAACTGACACTAGACCTAGAACTAGAATAATTCGGGTTTAGCCGTCTTGGAAGACGTGCGGCTAAATCGCAATGTTTCTAGTTCTCAGTCTAGTGTTAATTCTAGTTTTGCACTATCACTAGAACTAACACAAGACCTAGAATCATTCTTAAAAGAATGAGAATCGTCTTGAAAGACGTCCAGCTAAATCCGAATGTTTCTAGTTCTAATGTTAGTTCTAATTTTAATTGTTATTCAGCATTAGATTGTGGTATATTTTTATTGAGCGAAAAGTAGAATTAACACTAGACCTAGAACCAAAAACATTTAGGTTTAGCCGTGCGTCTCTTAAGACAGAAACTCAGAGTTATCATAAGGGTGTCACCTTTTCCAAGCAAAACCTTTCTCCTTTCTCTGCAAAACTACCAAATGAGACTGAGACTGAGATCACTGAGTATAGTGTTAATTCCAGTTTTACACTTACACTGTCACTAGAACTAACACAAGACCTAGAACTAGAATCATACGGGGTTAGCCGTCTTGAGAGACGTGCGGCTAAACCCGAATGTTTCTGGTTCTCGGTCTAGTATTAGTTCTAGTTTTACACTAGCACTATCACTAAAACTAACAGAAGACCTAGAATAAGAATCATTCGGGTTTAGCCGTCTTGAGAGACTTGCGGCTAAATCCGAATGTTTCTAGTTCTAGGTCTAGTGTTAGTTCTAGTTTTACACTAGCACTGTTACTATGTAGAACTAACACTATAGGTACATAGAGCTAGAATCATTGGGTTTTAGCCGAACGTCTTTAAAGACGGGTAAACTCGAATGATTCTAGTTCTAGGTATAGTGTTAGTTCTAGTTTTACACTTGCACTATCACTAGTACTTACATTAGACCTAGAACTAGAAACATTTGGGTTTAGTTGTACGTCTCTTAAAATGGCTAATGTCAAGTGACAACGTTTTTGTACTTGGTATCTTCCATATTTAAAATTGTTTTTCTGGATGGATATACCATTTGGTCTTGATCTATTTATTCTGTTCTTTGTCCTTCTTGGGCTGCATTTAGAAATGTTTGGAAGTACTATTTCCAGGTATTCTTTATACAGCACATGTTGTTCTTTATTTGACCCTCTTTGTTTCTGCACCCTCAAACTCCATTTTTTTCTGCATGGTCTTTTTTGCCAAGTGCTTTCTATCCATTTTTTTCCTGTATTCTATGGCTTATTTTCCTGGGTCGTCAAATCAGTTATCTGTTGTTTTTCCAAAGCTTTCCCTCATTTTCTTGTTTGTCTTGGTCGTTAGTGTTATTTCTTGAGATTCTGCATCTCAATTTCATTTAGAGTAACGGGTGCTGTGAGCCGCAACATGCTGCAAGTGTTTGAGGTTCTTATTGGGTAATAATTGTTGAACCATTTCTTTCCGCTCTTGTTCATCCTGATCATGCTCTCTTTCTGTTATGTTTAAACCCCTTATTATTAGTAATAGTATAAACAACTAATTGTAATTTGAATTTTAGATTTCAAGCATGGAAAACATGTTTAGGAGTCCTCGGAATCCCATTCATCGACGTCGTAAGAGTGCTAGCGGCCGTTCTTCTTTTAGGAAACGTTCATTTCGTCGATAACAAAGGCATAGACGTTGACGTTAAAGGAGAAGTCGAATTAAACGCCGTCGCCGGTCTCCTCGGAGTCTCAAGCGGAGCCCTTTTTAGAGGATTAACCACGAGAACTCACAACGCTCGCGGCCAATTTGTAAAATCAGTTTGCGACGCAAACATGTCTAACATTACCAGAGATTGTTTGGCGAAAGCTCTTTATTGTAGAACGGTCGCAACGATAGTCCGACGCGCAAACAGTTTAAAACGGTTAGGATCAACTTTAGGGACGTTAAGTTCGGATTCAAATGAGAGTGTACATAATCAAGTTGAAGTTACAAGTCAACACGCTTCGACGATTGGGGGAACGAACGCCGGAAGTAAATCAATGGCTGCTTTAAATAACGCGGTGAGACACGCCACCGATGGTTTTATCGGGATTTTAGATATGTTTGGGTTTGAAGAACCGAAACCGAGTCAATTAGAACATTTGTGTATTAATTTATGTGCGGAAACGATGCAACATTTTTATAACACCCATATTTTTAAATCGAGTATAGAATCGTGTCGGGATGAAGGAATTAATTGTGAGGTTGAGGTCGATTATGTCGATAACGTGCCTTGCATCGATTTAATTTCTTCGTTAAGAACGGGATTATTGAGTATGTTAGATGTTGAGTGTTCAATTCGGGGAACCGCCGAAAGTTACGTCTCGAAAATTCGTGCGCAACACAAACACAACTCGAGATTATTTGACCCAAAACCTTTCGACCCAAGAATGTTTGGGATACAACATTTCGCCAGAAGAGTAGTTTATGATGCAACCGGGTTTTTAGATACTAATAAAGATGTTGTTCCCGATGATTTAGTCGCTGTTTTTTATAAACATAATTGCAACTTTGGTTTTGCAACTCATTTATTTGGGAGTGAATTAAAAGCTTTGTACTCAGTTGAAAATGTACCAAGAGGTATTAGTTTTAGGATATCCCCAACTTCTCACGCTGATTTATTAAACGGGGATGAACCGGTTTCCACGTTAACTCAAGATTTCCATACGAGATTAGATAATTTATTAAGAACCTTAGTACACGCTCGGCCCCATTTTGTGAGATGCATAAGAAGTAATTCTCAAGAAGCCGCGAATAGATTTGATAGATCTTCTGTTGTGCGTCAAGTTAGATCGTTGCAAATTTTAGAAACCGTTAATTTAATGGCTGGGGGTTACCCCCATCGGATGAGATTTAAAGCTTTTAATTCACGATATCGGCTTTTAGCGCCTTTTAATCGATTGACGCGAACGGAAGATAAAGTCCTGGATGATTGTCATGTTATTTTACGCCATGTGGTTGAGTTAATGTCGAAAGAAAATACGGTTTCGACAAGTTGGGCTTTAGGGAAGCGACACATTTTTTTAAGCGAAGGTATTCGGCAACAACTAGAAACACTTCGCAACGAAAAACGTCAAAAATCAGCTACCATCATTCAATCGGTTTGGAGAGGTTGGAAAAGTAGATATCGATGGTCGATAATTAAACGAGATAAAGTCCTTCAAATTAATACCACGTCTGTTGGGCGAGTTGGAAATGGGGTTTCAACGAGACCACGACCTCAACCCATCGCTGGAACACCCCCACCAGATCCTAATGAAAAATGCGATAGCAAAATTATTCAACAAACTTGTAATTTATTCGGGTTAGATTTAGAAAGACCTCCTCCTGTTCCTCCAAGTCGATCGTATACAGTTGCTGGAAATACGAAATTGAGATACCCCCAAACGAGAGTGATGAAAATGACGTTTCCCGAAGATGCCGGTGGTATTAAATCGGACGGCGCGGTTCTTTTAAAAGGAGAATCAGTCGTCGTTGTGGGGGCTTCCCACAGACGTGGTCATTTAATTGTCGAACATAAGCATTGTACTATACACGTACCTTTTCAGTATTTGGAACTAAAACAGAGCGTTAATATTTGAGTTTTTCACTTTTTAAGAAGTCAATAATTTTTTTGGTTGTTGATTATCATTAAAATTTATTAAATCAATACAATTTATTAATATCTAAGAAATCGTTATTACACAATCCTAAGAATTCGAAATAAACGACCAGATTAAGTTGTTTAATTAGTTACCACATAGGAAGTGAGAACAACTGTTAAAATTATTGACTTTTATGCGTATTGGGTATTTTATTTCCATAAAGTATTCACTTAAAAAAGGAGCTATTTATGTATATTTAAATCAATGCCATTTTATTATTTCGGATTACGTTTTTTTTTGTATACAAGAGAGAGAAAGATTTTTTTGTATTTATAGTTTATATTTAAGATTTTTCAGAGTTTTATTGAGCTCGTTTTTACGTTCGATTTGCGCTTTATTCTGTTTTTATTATCCTATTATCGAAAATTAAAAAAAAAAAGAAAATCGTACTTAATTTGTACAAATTCTTATCAACTTAAGTGCCTTATATTACGTAGATAAACAAGAAGACTCGTGTATTTAAATTCGATAAATATATATATATTTTTTTTTTATTCGAACTTAAATATTTGTATTACTCATCCTTTTTCCATGACTTTGTCAATCCAACTACAATTTCCATGACTACATACTTTCAAATTGATATGATATTAGTCACTACCTTGGCCACAAGCGACTTCTGCTTAATTAGTCAAAAGATCTGCGACTTCCCTTGATAAAACTGAGACCGCTTGGGCCCGAGGCGTTCGAATATGATGACTAGTTTATGTTGATATAAAGATGGGTCCAAACAGTGCGCAACATTGTGCACGGCTGCCGCATGGTGTGTCTCGCATATGCCATTTAGCTGGCATATTTCAAGCAAAACAAGTTGTTTCTGATAATAAAGCCAAATATTCATTCTTAAAACTTTCAATTTCACTTGTTCATCTACGGGAGTTGTTAATCTATTAAATAAATTTTTCATATAAGCCACATTCAATCCAATTGATTCATTTTGTCCTTGTGTACGTGATTTTATTTGATTCAAAATTTTTTCGTTATAGTTTTTATCGCCAACCGACAGCAAAACCATACTTTATGCTATCATCCATTTGCGGGAGTAAAGTGACACTTTGTGCTACTATCTAGTAAACTGTGCATTTAGCGGCAGACAAAGTACTTTATCACCAACCGGCAGCAAAACCATACTTTATGCTATCCATTTGCGGCAGTAAAGTGACACTTTGTGCTACTATCTAGTAAACTGTGCATTTAGCGGCAGACAAAGTACTTTACCTGCCGCTAATTGCTGTCAATTTGAAAAAAATGCCGTTGAACAGCTGGATTTGAACCCGGTACCTTCTGTATGAAAGCGCACTTTCCTCTCCACTATATTACCGACCTTTGATACATAGTGTAACTTTACCGAGGTATATTAACAAAACAAATCGTTTGACACATGTCATAATATTGGTAAGATAGAATATCTTCATATCGTTAATTTTTACGGTTGGCGATAAAATGTTGTATGCAACACGTCAGCAAAGTGTCTTTATCGAACTGGCCTGTTTACTCGCCTCGATCGCTTCGTCGCTCGACTCGCAAACTCAGACTCGTTCGATAAAGCATCACTTTGCCGACTTGGTACATAAATAACTATTACCGGCGAGACAATAGCAACAAACCGCTCAGCAACAAACTTTTTCCTTTATATTTCCACCTACTTCTAGGGGCCATATCTTCGTTATCTAGAAAGATAGCGAAAAACTAAGTACACGGTTGGAAAGGTTGGTCTTTTCTATATCTTAAACCATGTTTTCGTCCGCCGATATATTAATAATAAGAGCAGAAAAAAATAAGAAACGACACACTGCATTTAAATCACCTCAAAATTGCTCCACTTAGGCTGTGTGCAGCCGTTATCAACCTACCGATAGCCTACAGACAACCTGCAGGTAGCAGAACGCAATCACTTCTTATCCTAACTTTCTTATTTGATGAAGGAAAAATTGGGACAAAGTTTTACCCGAGAGAGAATCCTAACTTCATTTCATGTTGACAGATAATTTTTCATTCACTCTTAATTTATTTAAAATCATTTAAAAACATATACATAAGTACGAAGGCTTTTACGGCCGGTGTTAATAAAATGTTTGACGTGTCGGATGTCATATTGCAACCTTCTTCAGAAAACAAGTTTGAAGCGAACCCGAAAGTTTCTAGTTCTAGGTCTAGTGTTAGTTCTAGTGATAGTGCTAGTGTTAGTTCTAGTTTTAGTTTTACGTTTAGAAACATGTTAAACTGTTCAAAACGGAAAGATTATTTCATGTTACACCTATATTATCAGAATCTGAAATTGTGTTTTGATGGTTTTGAATCTGGTAACGTTACCAACCTTTGCATTTTAAGTTATTTAGTTTATCAATTTAAAAAACGCGTATGCAAATGCGTAAGAGAAGTGCGTCGCACACCGTTGGAAAGAGCAGAAAATTTCCCATAAGATGAATATAGTTCTGGAGTTTTCTCCCCGTCATATAAGAGAGTTATTGACCCAAGAGTGGCTAAGCCGCGGCAAAAATTCGAGGTTTAGGTAGTTCATAGTCAGAAAAAAGGATTGTGTAAACGTGTGATCACGGTGTGTCACACATCGTTGGAAAGAGCAGGAAATTTCCCATAAGCTAAATATACGTAGTTTTTCGCTATCTTTCTAGATTACAAAGATATGGGCCCTAGAAGTAGGTGGAAATATAAAGGAAAAAGTTTGTTGCTATCGTCTCGCCGGTATAGTTTTTTGGTAGAAATTCCTCTCTTAAATAATGACATAAATTTTTCCACGTATTTACTTTCCCTTTTAAAGATCTAAAATAAATCAATGCTTTCCCCTCAAATAAATGAACAGCACTGTTAAATTATCTATCAGAGTCTATTTCCTCTGCTAAACATAATTCATCAACTCTTTCTATAAACGGATTAATGCCTATTTCATTAGGTTCACCACTAAACTTAAGATCCCATTTAGTTAAATTTAAAGGAGGTTTCAATGATATTTTTTTTCATTTCTGTTGTTAACGTCTGTTGAGTAGTTAAATTTACTGTTGAATCATCATCACTTTTATCATTAGTTTGTGCTTCATGAAATGAAATATCTACTGGTGGGGTTACAGTTTGAGAACTTTTTAATTTTATTTTAAAATCTACAATACAGTCTAGAACCTCTGACATAAATGGAGACTTAATGTCTGCTTGTGCTTCAGGTAATTCCAAATTCTCAACCCTATGCAAAAGATGGCACAGTTTTGTTTCAACTTTTCTTATATGTGATGAAGTAAATTCCCCACGTAAAATAATAAACTTCTTTTATTAGTAATTATTCACTGAGGTTGGTTTCAATTTGAGCCGAAATAATTATTCATTAAATCTAATCTAACCTAACTTAGACGATGAGGTATAATTTTGACAACATCATTTAATAGCTATTAAATGGATAATACCGCATCGCTTTTGTTTTACGATATTTCTCATATCTGTCATAATAAGGGAGGGAAAGGCCAATGCGTTTTCATATGCATACATTTTAATATCTCCTGGAACATTCAACCGATTTGAATATTTTCGGTCGGTTATTGCCACATTACTAAGCTCCAAAATGTGTAGTATTATGATTAAATGGTTTTATAAATGGAGAATTAATCCAAACCCAACTAAATTTCAATTATTTATTCCACATCACAGAATAGTGGAAACGTATCCAATTATTAAGATGGATACGGTTAACATAAAACCATTACAGAACATTAAGTACCTAGCAATGAACATCGATTCCGAATTAAACATGAGTACACACTACAGGAAAGTACAGGCGGAAATGTCTAAACGGACGAAACATTTTAGATCTCTAAGTTATAAACACGAAGACAGCGATGCAAATATATATTATAAGAGCATATGTAGACCATTGATTGAATAGGGTAATATTGTATTAATGTATCCGTCCAGAAAAACGAGAGACATAATTGACAAAGCGGAAAGAAAATGCTTGAGGATTATCTCTGAGATTAGACACCCAAATAACCCATTGCACAACGTTAAAAACGAGCTTATACGAAATGACTGGTATTGAACCTATAAGACTAAGACTAGACAGACTACGGAAGAAATTTTTAGAGAACAGAAACAATTACGAAAAAATACATAAATTATGTTTAAAGAGACAAGCTGCACAGAGGAAGACAATATTCGAACTTTTTTCATAAATACTTATCTGATAATAATAATATTGTTAAATTCTTTGTTGTAATAATACCCAGCGGAAAGACCATTAGGTCGATAGCTGTAATAAAAATTTATTTCTCTCTACAAAATTTGAAAAAATTGTCGATTAATTCAAAAATTTATTTCTCAAGAACAAAAAGTGATTTTTCAAAACGGCTTTTTGCATTAAAAAAAGGACACTTTAATTAATAATCCAAAGTGATAAGAGCGACAATTCTGTTAGTAATGAATGTGATGATGAATTACAAGCGAAGAGAAGAAAACTAGACGAAACTGCAACAAGAGATTTCATATATCGTATTGGGATTGTTACAATGAGGTTGCTAATAACAAACCTGACATAAATAAAGTTGTATTCAATGAAAAAAGTTTTATTGGGGATGAACTTGATTATTATCTGCAGTGTCCAACACCTAAAAGAGATACTAATTTCTGTGAATGGTGAAGTACTAACTAATAGGTTTTAATACCAAAGCCGGATATTTGGTAACGTATTTAGAAATGCAACGCTCTAAACAAAAACTTCTTATACTAAAAATTGAACGCATGTGGCGCCATCTGTTGGGGATATTTTGGAGGGTTGGATTGGGTTTATATATAAAAGCTCCAACCACAGAATAACTGTTTGGAAAGTGTTTGGAGCCATTATGTGGCTCCAATTAACGTTCCGACTGGTTGGAAATTCCTCAGATGCAATTACCTATGGCATTACACCTATCAAATAATGCCGCCACATTTGACAATCACTCCATCATATGATATGTGAGATTACATCTGACGAGCTTCCAACAACTTACAACGTTAGCTGAAACAAAGCCATATGTCAATTATAATCTAATTATTTAATCATACCTTTATTACTCTATTATACTGTTACCGAAAAACCACTTTAAAATGACGGTTTCATCTGTCATTCTGAACAAACTTCAACTTTATAATTTTAAAAGTTGAAGTTAGCGGCAAATTTAAAAATATAACACGAATTGGAATCTATACTTTTTAAATTAAAAGAATGATACTGGTAATAATTGTTATTGCTGTCTCTCATCATTCCCACTATTAATAATAAAATTGTTAGTTTAATTAAATTATTTCAGTATAGACGCTAGTGCCATCTTACGGTGGGATTTCATGCAATCAGTCCCAAGTTCTCCTATCAAAGATCCCTGGGGCTGCGTACCACAACCAAACATATTACTAAATTAATATCAAAAAAGTATGTTTGATTTTGCTAAATGCGCAACAAGTGGTACTTTTACGTTCCAATCATAAAGCTTTTAACGTTTTAATAGTTAAAAAAACTTACCTTTTTGATCAGATTAAACCATTAAGTAATTAAACCAATTTCATTTTACCACATAAACAATACAATTTCGTTTTGAATCGATAATTAGTTAATAATTATCATTAAACTTTGCGCGTGGTTTTAACAACGACGATTGTTAGTATTCTTGGTCAACAACTGTTTTGAAATTGCTTAGCAACCCAACCAAAACGAATCAACACAACCTACAAAATATTAACCGAATCGATAAATCTGAAATGTATCAAGAGATGGAGCCACATAATTTATTTTTATTAATTATTTTAATTACATTTATATTGCATTATATTAAATAATAAACCAAATCAAAATCGATTAACATGATAAGTTAATTGTTAATTAAAACGTCAATTTAGGTGTAAAGTAGTTAAGAAACCCATAATTATTTTTATTTTTCCACTACAACCTATTAATTTTGAACCAAGGCTATTATTTGTCCTGATTTAGTAGTAATTGCAAAAAAATATATTGATGAGACAAAGTTCAAATAAACGGAGGATTTATAAGCATCTCGTAAAGTATCATACGAGATTCAGTGCAAATTCAAAAATGCAGCCTCTAAGCAAATTACCATTTGATGAAATAACTGAAGATGCCGTGAAATTGGTTTATAAAGAACTCGGAATTGAAGTTGAGAAGTTAGAGAATTGCTTAAAACTTGTTAAAGAATGGTTAAACTGTGAAACACATCTTCCAAAGGATGTTGGTGAGGATTTAATTATGAGAAATTAGAAGTAAAATAATTTTTTTAAATATTTTTAGATGAAGTTTTGATGAAAAATTTTATATTGGGATCAAAAGGTAACGTTGAACGAACGAAAGAAAAATTAGAAAAATATATAATCGCCAAAACGAGAATGACCAACATTTATTCCGATAGAGTACCAAAAGATGAAGAATTTTCTTTGTATCCCTTACAAAAAGTAGTGTTCATTTCTCCAAAGCATACACCAGATGGAAATAGAATTCTTTTGTGCAGATTACCCGATAAGGATCCAACCCATTTCAATCACTTGAACCTTGCAAGATATTTTTGTCTAACTCGTATGTTGATTTAAACACTTTAATTTGTATAAATTAAATTAAATTATTACAGTTGATCTCTTGTTATTTCACGATACTTCCGTTGGCTACAACTTTATTTATGATGCAGCGGGGTTTTCACCGAATATATTACCAAAATTTAATCTTAGATTATTAAAAGAAGTTTCTGAATTAATCTACAAAACATCTCCAATGCGAATCAAATCTATTCAATTAGTGAATGACACGGCCACTATGAGCACTATTATGAACATTGGGAAAGCGTTTATGTCGCAAAAATTAAAGGATCGTGTAAGAAATAAGAAATATATTTTATAATATATTTAATTGTTATATGTTATAAATTATAAATTATAGATTTCGTGTGTTAAAATGGAAGAGTTATCAAAAATGTATCCAAAGGATTGTTTACCGATTGAGTACGGAGGAACGGCAGGAAAAATTGATGATGGAAATAATAATTTGTTGGAGATTTTAAAAGAAAATAAAGATTGGTGCTTGAAAAGTGAAGAACCGAAATTAATCGGTCTCATTCCTGATGATAAAAAGAATTTGTACTCTTTTGATGATTTAAGTATGAATGGGAGTTTTAGAAGGCTCAATGTCGATTAAAACTTGCAACCTTTTATATAAATATTTATAAAATCCTAAGGTTAAAAAATAAATTTGTATTAATTTAATCCTGTTTTAAAACAAATCTATGAAGAGACAAAACCAGTTTTCCCAATCCAACATGTTTTTTTTAAATTTTATTGTTATCATATTAATTATCGCGTCGAAGACTCGTTTCTTGTTGCTTAGTTCGCTTGGTCACAGTTTGAGAGTGACCATGATCCTTTCAATCCTATTCCTCGCCGTTCTTAATTTTCAAACAATATATTCTCAGTACGCCATTCCTCGACCGTCAATAGAAATTCTTCATCCTAAAGGATTTATTTTAAGAGTTCAAGGTGAGTTAAACTAAAAAAATTAACTAATAAAATGTTCATAAATAAAATTCATATTTTTTTTAGACAATGGGAAAATAAAAAATTTTGATTTTCACATAAAAATTAACGAAGAATTCACTGGAAGAGAAAGCGGAACGTTTAACAGGGATCTAAACCAACCTATAAATGGATTTTGGACGTTCACGGAATCAAAGTACAGGCTTAAAGTTGGGGATATAATTTATTATTGGTTACATGCAATTGACAAAAATGGTTTGGAATATTTTAGGGATATTGAACCTTATCAAGTAACATGTAAGCACTCTCATTAAAATTAAGTACACTCATACCTCTCTTTAAACAGCTAATCGCTATAACGGCTTTTCTATCTTTATTTATTAATCTACATATGCTGTCTAACTTTATACTGGTGCGAGGTCTGTTGTGGTGCCTTGGCCGTAAGTAGCCTCGGCTTAACAAAACTACATAATCCATTCTTTGTCATTAATTAGTGTGAGGTCTAATTCGCGTTAACAATTTACCATTAACAACTTGAAAAAGCAATAAATTTATCCAAACTTTATATTTTCGTATTTTTCTCGATATTGACCCATCTGAGAGAAAAAATGAAAGAGAGCAATAGTACTAAGAATAAAATTAGCTACAACTTTTGTTTTAAAATATTTTTTATAACATGCTCCGTTTCCCGAGTATTACCATTAACAACTTGGAAAAGCAACAAATTCTTCCAATTATCATATTTTCGTATTTTTTTTGATATTGGCGCATCCGAGAGCAAAAGTGAAAGAGAGCAATATTGCTAACAATAAAATTTGCTACAACTTTCGTTCCAAAAGCTTTTTTGTACTATGCTCCGTTTTCCTAGTGTTACCATTAACTACTTGAATAAGCAACAAAATCATCCAATTTTCATATTTTCTCTCTTGCTCGATATTGACGCATCTGAGAGCAAAAGTGAAACAGAGCAATATTGCTAACAATAAAATTTGCTACAACTTCTGCTCCAAAAGCTTTTTTTGTACTATGCTCCATTTTCCTAGTGTTGCCATTAACAACTCGAATAAGCAACAAATTCATCCAATTTTCATATTTTCGTATCTTGCTCGATATTGACGCATCTGAGAGCAAAAGTGAAAGAGAGCAATATTGCTAACAATAAAATTTGCTACAACTTCTGCCCCAAAAGCTTTTTTGTACTATGCTCCGTTTTCCTAGTGTTGCCATTAACAACTTGAATAAGCAACAAATTCATCCAATTTTCATATTTTCGTATCTTGCTCGATATTGACGCATCTGAGAGCAAAAGTGAAAGAGAGCAATATTGCTAACAATAAAATTTGCTACAACTTCTGCCCCAAAAGCTTTTTTGTACTATGCTCCGTTTTCCTAGTGTTGCCATTAACAACTTGAATAAGCAACAAATTCATTCAATTTTCATATTTTCGTATTTTCCTCGATATTGACGTATCTAGGAGCAAAAGTGAAAGAGAGCAATATTGCTAACAATAAAATTTGCTACAACTTTTGCCCCAAAAGCTTTTTTGTACTATGCTCCGTTTTCCTAGTGTTACCATTAACTACTTGAATAAGCAACAAATTCATCCAATTTTCATATTTCCGTATCTTGCTCGATATTGACGCATCTGAGACCAAAAATGAAACAGAGCAATATTGCTAACAATAAAATTTGCTACAACTTCTGCCCTAAAAGCTTTTTTGTACTATGCTCCGTTTTCCTAGTGTTGCCATTAACAACTTGAATAAGCAACAAATTCATCCAATTATCATATTTTCGTATTTTCCTCGATATTGGCGCATCCGAGAGCAAAAGTGAAAGAGCAATAGTGCTAACAATAAAATTTGCTACAACTTTCGTTCCAAAAGCTTTTTTGTACTATGCTCCGTTTTCCTAGTGTTATCATTAACAACTTGAATAAGCAACAAAATCATCCAATTTTCATATTTTCGTATCTTGCTCGATATTGACGTATCTGAGACCAAAAATGAAACAGAGCAATATTGCTAACAATAAAATTTGCTACAACTTCTGCCCTAAAAGCTTTTTTGTACTATGCTCCGTTTTCCTAGTGTTGCCATTAACAACTTGAATAAGCAACAAATTCATTCAATTTTCATATTTTCGTATTTTCCTCGATATTGACGTATCTAAGAGCAAAACTGAAAGAGAGCAATATTGCTAACAATAAAATTTGCTACAACTTTTGCTCCAAAAGCTTTTTTGTACTATGCGTCGTTTTCCTAGTGTTGCCATTAACAACTCGAATAAGCAACAAATTCATCCAATTTTCATATTTTCGTATCTTGCTCGATATTGACGCATCTGAGAGCAAAAGTGAAAGAGAGCAATATTGCTACAATAAAATTTGCTACAACTTTTTCTCCAAAAACTTTTTTGTAATATTCCCTGCTTCGCTAGTGTTACCATTAACAACTTGAATAAGCAACAAATTCATTCGATTTTCATATTTTGCTCGATATTGACGTATCTAAGAGCAAAACTGAAAGAGAGCAATGTTGCTAACAATAAAATTTGCTACAACTTTTGCTCCAAAAGCTTTTTTGTACTATGCGTCGTTTTTCTAGTGTTGCCATTAACAACTTGAATAAGCAACAAATTCATCCAATTTTCATATTTTCGTATTTTGCTCGATATTGACGCATCTGAGAGCAAAAGTGAAACAGAGCAATATTGCTAACAATAAAATTTGCTACAACTTTTTCTCCAAAAACTTTTTTGTAATATTCCCTGTTTCGCTAGTGTTACCATTAACAACTTGAATAAACAACAAATTCATTCGATTTTCATATTATCGTATTTTGTTCGATATCGACGTATCTAAGAGCAAAACTGAAAGAGAGCAATATTGGTAATAATAAAATTAGCTACAACTTTCGTTCCAAAAGTTTTTTTATAATATGCTCCGAATTTCTCTTAAACCCAAAAGAATTTGTAATGAAATTCGTTTAGTAGTTTGTAACTATTTTTAGCACTCCCTGGAAATAATAAAAATAAAAATAATGGTAATCGAGGTAATGGAAACAATAAAAATCCCGTATACCCAACATATCCAACTCGCCCAGAAACTGAACCGCCGATTGAAAAAGAAACTCCATCAACAACAACAACACCTAAACCAACAACTCCTTCAATTTGTATTGAAACGCCCACAAAAATTAATAATGGAGCATCCACTTGTTCAGGAAAAGTAATTTTTTCAGAAGAATTTAACGATTTAGATAAGTGGCAATCGGAAGTTAGAATCGCTGGAGAACCTGTAATTCTTTAATGAGATAAATATTTCATATTTGTAATCACTTATGTCGTTTTTAAGGACTTTGAATTTGTCACATATGTTAATGACCAAGACAATTTATATTTAAAAGATGGAGTTTGTGTTTTCCACCCAATTTTTGCTGATGATAAATATGGAAATGGTTACGTTCGGAATGCACTATTAGATTTAAATATAAAGTACGTTTTTATTAAATTTTTTCGTTTAATTATTAAAAGAAAAATTTATTTTATTTTAGTTGTACCGCTTTTAACGAATACGATTGTAAAAGAAGACCAATAGGTTCAAATATCCTCCCACCAGTTTTTTCATCAAGAATAAACTCAAAGCCGACATTTTCATTCCTGTACGGAAAAGTTGAAATAAAAGCGAAATTACCGAAAGGAAATTGGATTTATCCCCAACTTTATTTAACCCCAAAAAGATTTTCTTACGGTTCTGGATACAATTCCGGCGAAATGAGAGTCGCTTACACCCTTGGAAATATGAACTTAAATAATGAATTAAGCGGGGGGCTTATTTTGGGGGATGATGAGTCAGGAAGAAATTACGCGATTAGAAAATATTCTAAAAATGAAAATTGGAGTGAAAATTTCAACGTTTTTGGGTTGGAATGGCGTCCTGATAGGGTGAGTCTTTCGGTTGATGGAATTCCATATGGAAACATTTATCCACCGCCAAGTGGATTTGGAGATGTTTATAAATCGGAAAGTTCAGAAAAATGGAAACAAGGAGATGTTTTGGCACCGTTTGACCAAGAAGTTCGTATATCTTTTTTAATTACAGTAGAAATAGTAGTAAAATTCGAAAAGAATCTTCGAATTAGAGAAAAATTTGTTGAATTTCAGCTCCAAAGAAATGTACTTTTCTAATACGTATATTTAACCATTCAACTACTTTAATAAAAATATACAACAATCTAGCGCTGAATAACAATTAAAACTAGAACTATCACTAAAACTAACACAAGACCTAGAACTAGAATCAGTCGGGTTTAGCCGTCTTGAGAGACTTGCGGCTAAATCCGAATGTTTCTAGTTCTAGGTCTAGTGTTAGTTCTAGTTTTACACTAACACTTACTATGTAGAACTAGCACTATACCTAGAACTAAAATCATTTTGGTTTAGCCGCACGTCTCTAAAGACGGCTAAACCCGAGTGATTCTAGTTCTAGGTATAGTGCTAGTTCTAGTTTTACACTTGCACTGTCACTAGAACTAACATTAGACCTAGAACTAGAAACATTTGGGTTTAGCCGCACGTCTCTAAA